GAAAACGTCAGTCATGGATGTTGTACTAAGTAACGGTGCGCCGAGCTTGTTACGACCGCTAGGTATGGAACCACTTAAGTTTATTGGACCCTTTTCGTATTGCTCGGCTGAACTCGTGGTGTACAAATTATACCCATTGCGGAAGTTAAGGGCATACGAGTGACGCTATTCGAAGCAACGGTGGTTTTCTCATATTTTTCGTATACGTTTCTTGTTTACCGTGCGGTGTTATAGCTTGTGTAGCCTTAGATGAAGTTTGTCGTAGGGACAAGTCCTACCAAATTAGCCTATGTGGCCTGCTGAATAGCCCTGGATACCTCCAGCCGTTCTGAAGCTCCAATGTTTGTTTGGCACTTTGCCTGATAAAGCACGCATTCATTGAATGGGCTAGTGATTTGGCTTTATTATAACCTGTTCGATGTCGTGACTCAGCCTCACTACATGACTGTTCAAAAGGACGCAGTTGGCAAACTCCTAGCTGCGATGGGTGAGACTAATTATGCGAGGGCGGGTTCCAGTCCTTTTCTTTAGATGAGTGCAATGCAAACATTGGAAGCAAAGGTTGGAGTTATTTATTACTAGAGGGTTGACTGTAAGTAACTAGAACGCTAAGGTTGGGAAACAACGTGTGGGGAAACCGAAGCCTGGTTAACAGAACGGGATCAAAACGAGCCACACATGTTTTACGCTTGGTTGTCGGTCCCGAGAAATGAAGGCAGTTGATCGGCGTGTATGGAGCGATCTAAGCACAAAGCCATTGCCAACTTGCAAGAGAAATCCATCGCGCAAGCAGAGGAGAAGCGGCAATTGGGGATGCGACATGCACCCATGGATTGTACTCCATCAACACTTCACGCATGGTTCTGTGGTACGAGCGGTCGCGAGTGACTGAGTCAGGCAGTCCTAATTAGTCATAAGCCAGGCCACTCGGAGCCAACACCGAATCGATGACAAGTCCTGCAGAGAACGTGGGCAGAACCAGTGCAAGGTTGGTAGGTACCTCGCATTCGAGTTACTAACCGCTTGCTGGCATGCTGAGCAACATAATCTCACTTGGTGGGTTTGCTATTTGTCTTACTGGTTTTTGACTTCATAATTGTCTACCTGAATTATCTTCTATAAACTTGCGCACGTCCCTTTACCTAGGTTAGTTAAGTTAGATAAGATTTGCTTAAACTATATGTTCTGATGTCCTTAACTTATCTGGCTTTGTTCGTAAGCAATTTATTTCAGCTCCTCATTTATTGAAGCGTTATGTCACAGTATCTGTATGTATATTTCACCTCATTTTATTTTACCTCGTCACTTCATGTGCTTGGCTGTTGTTTGATACCCCCGGTGTGCCTGCTTTCGATGTGCATGATGACAAGGTGCCTGCCGCTCTATTTACCTACTACCTCCTCCATACTGGGTCCAGGAGATAATTGGTCGTTTTCGGTGGGGACGGCGAGCGCGGTCCTTGTGGCTCTGCTAGGCTAGAAGCTTGGTTCCAGGTACTCGGTGTGGAGCGGACTAGGTTCAGCCACCGCCTTTTTGCGCGCTTGATGCTCAACTACAGCTTACTTGTGTTTGCATGGAAAGGGGTGTGCACTGGCTCAGTTGATGAAGCATGGCTCCCATCCACATGCTCCCAGTTTTATTCTTTCTGCTTTGCACTGGATATGAGGTGTGTGGTTGGAGCGGTGCGTGGTAAAGCGCAAGCCGCCCATGGTCCTCCTTTAGGCGCCAGCGTCCTGTGGCTGGCGATAGTCAAATCCGTAGCCGTATGCCGCCGAGCAATTTTATATATACATACAATTACAGGTTGGATAGCAGTGTTCCAGTACCTAGTGGGTTTTCGTCTGGCGATCTTTAAGCTTATAACAAGCCACTAAGGTTCGTTTAACAACACTGCTACGTGGCGCAGGTGGCTCGCCAAAATGCATGGCCACTGCCACTTCCGCTCCGGGAGGATCCCCACTTCAAAAATCTTGTCCAACTAGGAGAGTTCCATTATTTATTTCATACCATGGCGAACACAGTAAGCAAAATCACGAATGCAATTGCAATTCATAAGTTCACTCATCGTGGCCACCACCACATACACCTACATGTATAAAGACATACAAATCCAGTATGTTACTGGTTAATATGCTTTATTTGTGGTATGCTACCGCCCCCCTGCTTGTATTATAATGATAGTGTCTTCGCAGACATGTCCCCACTGTCGGGCGGAGTACAGTTACTTATATATTCATGGATAAGTGGGGATGTATACTCACACAACAAAGAACTTGGAAAAGAAGGCGAAATTTTCATTTGCTTTTTTATCCTATCAAGCGCTCCACGTTTTTTCCTGCGTAGCATATATGCTTTTCATTAGTTTCTTTCTTTACTTAAAAAGAACTACATTTTTCATTTCCTCTATTAGCTGAAATTATTGGTTCTCAGTTTCCCCATAATATGGGGTATAGAGTACAATTATTTTTACCCAACGTTGTTAACTCATTACGCGGTACTAGTACTTATACACCCTTAGAGGTTTTTTTCATATATTTGCCCTTACACGAGATTCTGAATAACCGCCTTCCCTTCTAAACCAACGTTTTACATTATCTTCACTGAGGGTGACAGAGATCATTAGCCAGGTTTGCATAGAAATACTCCATTGTTTGTGAAAAACGGCAGTTTTGGCCTTCAATATAATGACTAATGAGTAAGTACGCTTCTATAATGTGGGTCCAAAAGAAACACCTTCATCCTTGGGAAAAGCAACTGGTAGTGAAAGCATGAATACGCGTGGACATCCATAGCTTTTACCATAAGAAAATTAACAAGCTGTGGTAATACACGATCCTCTGAGACAACCTCACGCGCTCCATAAACGAGCGTGGCATGATTGTACAAAATGATCTGGACACTCATGGGTAAAGCATCTAGCAAGGCTAAAGTATACACATATTTATTTACTCTTACTGTATGTAAGGCCATGCTGGGCTGACGCAGCGGATACAATTTAGGGGATGTGTTTTTTAACATGATATTTCTGAAGCATCTAATACCGTCTTACCTTCTAACCGGTTGTGTAAGCTACCGTAATGTGGTTTATTCAGTCGGGAACAAATGGCTAGCACCATTTTTAGAAAAGTGGTGACGTGGGTACTGAGGCACAAAGCTCTCACCATGATAGCCGGTTCATAGTGGTATTCCACAGGTGTCCGTCCTCTGGCCACTGTTGTGATTAAATGAATAGACTTAGGAGCTAGGGTGCCGTTCTTCAGGCTTTCCGGCTGCACGGCTACTGACCCGGATGCATCACAATTGCTTCAGCGTTTGCTTGCTAAGTTACAGGATTGATCCACTTTATGGCAATTACGCATAAGATTTTCCAAGCGTTGTGACGCGTATTGGGAGCAGTGCTCGGCCAAAGGTTCACCTGTAAGGGGGCCACGTAGTACAGCGCGTACACGAGCAGGCCGGCTTAGGTGTCACGCTGTCAAACGTTAATTGCACAGGTGTTGTAGGAAAAAGGGGAAAAGCTTTTTACTGAAACATAGGTCTTCAGCAAAGCTAACGGAAGAATACCTAGTAAAATGTAAATGGTTTTCGTCAGCCGACTTAGAATACTATGCTTAAGCCAGCCCCATCGCCTAATGTGAGATAGAATGACATTTATGCAGAGTTTGAGGAATGGTACAAAGTTGGTGGGTGGGTTAAAATGTAGGACTTATACTGCGAAGTTTCGTCGGCTGTAGCTTTTCCCCTTGGTAATATATGTAGCAGGCCAAGCTCAGTTATGTTCGGTTCCTTAGCCGACTGCTGGCGGGTATCCAAGCAGGTAGCTTAAACTCTGCCGATAGGATGATCGCCGAGTTCCAGTTATCCAAGGTAATACCCTGCCTGAGAATGTATATTTGGCACCAACGAGTTGCAACCTAAGCAGCTCCCCTTTATAATACCCTTCCCAGCTTGGTCGTATTAGCTTTAGCTCTAGAGTGTAATTTACCTTTTTGCCTTTTTATTTCAGTTTTCCTTTCTTTAGTTACTTTCTGTTTTGCATTATTTCTACTTCACGTGACCTATTCAGCAAGTATGGTCGCTAGAATACACATGGGCGCTGGTTGTCTGACCGTGGTGTGATAGTTCTTCCAATCATAAAGCTCAGAAGGCAAATCGATGCGTCGATAACTAAGCCGGATCAACGACGCTTCACAATCGAACATCCACCCTATCCACCAAATGTTGCTTGGATTAACTCAAAATTGGTTCAAGGAACACAGCGCCGGTCATACCCCCTGAGAATTATTAGGCAGAGGATGTTTCCGTTGCGTTATCACTGACAGCGTTACGACTGCTTAAGACTTCCGCCTACTGACGGGAAAGATAGGCTTTGATTTGTCCTGGATGTTTGAGCCAAACTTACTACCAACTACTTGTGGTCACTGAAGGAAATTGCACAAACCACGAGTCGGTATTATCACAAACTGAAGGAGTATGTGCATTGACACGATGCCCCTCGGTTGCAGTTCCAACACCTGTCATTCACATCTGAATTTCAAGCTTACTTATTGGCGTTATTATAACTTCCTTACTACTCAGCATTTACACATTTCTTACTTAATATATTTACTCCTGCTTCATTTAGCCGACACAGCCTGTACTGCTAATGCAGGTTCGCTTGAGCCGGAATTGCTGGAACGTGGTGTGATTAGAGCATGCAGCTTTGGTTCTCTGCTTGTCGATAGTACCGCCGATATATACCCATTAGCATAAATGCAACCCAAAAGAAGAAACATGGGAATTACCTAACCTTCCAGGCCCACTAGAACAAGCACCTGTCTAATCAAATTATAAAATAAAATCGCACACAAGCAATGATGCAGCAGACAGAGGTTTCCAAAAGATCAAAACTTAAAGCTTAGCTTATTTATGTAAACTATTGCTTTTTGCTTGAAATATTTTTTCTTTTTACTTAGACGTCAGAATGTCAAGGCCACCAGTTTAGTAGCATTCTACCGTGAATGGCGTCGCAGAGCGATCTTGACAGACAGATTGAACAGCTTAGGAACTGTACACTGATAACAGAAGATGAGGTGAAAGCTCTCTGTGCTAAAGCCCGTGAGATTCTAATTGAGGAGAGTAATGTGCAGTGCGTCGACTCTCCGGTCACGGCATGTTTGTAAATTTTACTAAGTTTCTGCTTTCATAGGTTTGTGGTGACATCCACGGGCAGTTCTATGATCTAATTGAACTGTTTAAAGTCGGCGGGGACGTTCCTGAGACAAATTATCTGTTCCTTGGAGACTTCGTGGATCGGGGTTACTATAGCGTCGAGACATTTCTCCTCCTTTTAGCATTAAAGGTAAATTCATCACGAACTGTTTTGTTTTGTAGGTGCGGTATCCTGATCGTATAACTTTGATTCGTGGCAATCACGAAAGTCGGCAAATCACAACCGTTTACGGTTTTTATGACGAATGCTTGCGTAAATATGGCTCAGCTATGGTTTGGCGACAGTGCACTGAAATTTTTGACTACTTGTGCCTTTCTGCGATTATCGATGATAAAGTAAGCATGTCGTATGCTTCATGTTTGGCATTTCGCTATTCTTGTGAGGTACTTCATTTTTATGTCTTAAAGTTAGCATTGTTTTAACATTTCCGACTCAAATGGCCTGCGAATCCAAGGACGACCCATTGAATTTCTTGCTAGACGTCTTTCCCATTGGTTAGTTGTTTCCATTACTAAACCCCTGCGTTGATATGCGTGCGCTGCGAGCTCCGTGCTATCGGGATCGGTGACTCCACCTCGGCACACTGTCTTCACCCATAGTTAATGTCAGCAACAAATCATTTTTGTCAGTATCTGTATGAATGAAGACAGGTTCAATGCAAAGCTCTGATGCCCAGGGTGGACATATAAGATAGGGTTTTCTGGTCTTCCAACGACCCACAGCTACGGACTTCTTTTGTGTGGATAAAGCGTCATCGGTGAGCCGACAACCTAACGATTTCCATTGATTCATTATTATAATTTTTGTCCCACAGAAACAAAAGCAAGTCTCGCGCTTGGAGTAGACATTTTTTCCAGAAGACAATATTAAAAAATCACCAGTGCTCGTTTCTTCCCGTGCTCTAATATCTCTAGCCATGCAAAATGTGGCTTTTGTGGACCGGGATTTGGCATATCCGAGTCAGTTGTTCATCCTTCGCTGGATAGCGAAGGATGTGCGTAATATGCACTCGAGACCGCACGTGCTACAGCACCATGCGCTAAATGCCGATGGGGTACAACCCATCAATGCGTCGTTTCCGCAATTGTTGCTTCTTTACATGTACGAGAGATTTCTCTTGCACCTCGGCAACTGCCTTCGTGATTAGATCGCGCCATGAACGCCGATCAACCGTCTTCGATTCCCATGACCTGCAATCAAGATTAGAACGTGAGAGGCTCACTTTGATCATGTCCTGGTAAAGTAACTTTGGTTTCCCCACATGTTGCTTCCCAATACTCACCTGACCATATAAGAGTTGTTTCGGTATCCGCGTCGAATCCATACGGCTCACATGATCGAGCCACCTCAGGTGTCTCAGCAAAGGTATGCAGTCGACTGTTTACATTTTATTTCGGCGCAACACTTCCGTGTCAGTAACTCTGTCGCACCAACCAATGCGCGGTATCCGTCGCAAACGCTGTTGATGGCACCGCTCGAGATACCGCACATCCCGCCGGTACATCGTCCACGTTTCGCTGTTGTATAGAAGAACGGACATCACAGATTTTTACACCATCAGCTTCGTGCCAACTGTAAGCTGATGGTAGTTCAACACGGTACTTTTGCTTCCCGAATGTCGCCGCTACCTTCGAGACGCGGATACGAAGCTCACTGTGTAGCTGCTGGTCAGTCGACACCACACTCCCGTGGTAGCAGAGGCGAGAGGTGGTTTCCAATACGTCATCAAAAATGCTGATTAACGGCACCATTGTAGATTGCACCTCGGGTGATGGCTGTAAGATACAGAGTTTTGTTTGTGTTGATTATAAGCCCGAATTTAGCCTGTCGAAACCAGAGCACTAGTCATGTGCTGCCACTCATCCGCGCTGTGTGCAAACAACGCACACTTGTCAGCAGACAGCAACATACGGATAGTTGTCTCACAGACTAGGGTTCTCGCACCGAAACGACGGATGTTCAGCAACCCACCATCAACACGGTGCTCCGCACGAACACCGTAAACACAAGCGGCATCAAAAGCGCAAGACATTTTATGAACATAAATATTCAACGGGGCAGAAGTTAGGACATAACTTTGCTTCACACCAGAGACAACTGCAAACTCATCCGAGGTCTGTCCACTCAGCTGCACCGTCGCCCGCATACCACTTTGCAGACATACACTTTCTCGGACAGCCAAACTTACCCAACAGCAGTCATAATGCCTCGTGGTTCACCGTATCAAATACCTTGGTAAAATCAACAAAAAGCGTTTACAACAGCTCCGTCGCAACGAGACTGGACCTTAATGTGGTGCGACGGTTTGCGTACCTCACTGACCCATTGAGCTGTACTGGGTGATGCCTCCGGGCACGTTGAGCGCTACTTCCTCCAGGTTGGTCAGTGGTGAGAGGTCAGACAAACTCAGTCTCCTGATCCTCCAGGTTGGGGGTTTGAAATGGGATGGCGTCCATTACTGTAAAACAAATCATTGCCACCTCCACGCTGCCTTGCGGACAGGCTTTTGAGCCAAAGAATTTGGGTGAGGACCCTAATCCTCCTCCTGTCTAGGTCTGGGCGCCCTGGCAGTATCTCAGCCCACATACAACCATGACATTTTCTTCAAACCCAAACTTCATCCTGCATCGGCCGTCGCGCAGATTATCAAGGGTCACCTTATCTGTTGCATACAGCAGTGCGGATAAGCGAGAACATGCTACTGCTGGCGCCTCCCTTCTTTCTTTTCCACCTTTTCTCTTACTCCCATCCCGACCCCATTACTAACCTTCCTTCTATAATTCTCAGCTAAATTGACAGCAAATGACGTGCCACTGGAGTAGAACCATCTGTAGTCACCATCCCACAACACCTATCGGACACTTATCGACAAAAGCCCCTTATAAGGCCACGCTGTCCCGTTTACATGGCGACACTCAACGTCCGCACTCTAAGACAAACAGGTCAGCAGGCTGCACTCGCACGCACCTTGGACACACTGGGTATTAATGTGTGTTATGTGTCCGAAACTAGGATCAATGACCCTAACGGGGTTATTGAATTGACTGCACTCGGCTTATCCTCTCGTTATTGGTTGCATGCATCCGGAGACGCCGATGCAGCACTCACGGGTCAAGCTGGTGTAGGTATCATTCTAAGCTCCAAGGCTAAGCCATCATTGGTTGATTGGATTCCGGTGAACAGCCGTTTATATGCAGCCCGTTTGACGACATCAGCTAAGGTGAATTCGCGAAGTAAAACAAAACGCTGTTTGTTTGTGATTTCCGCTTATACTCCCACCGACTGCAGTTCTAATGCAGTCAAGGACACATTCTATCACGAACTGAACGCGCTGCTACGCAATGCTACTAGTTCAGATATTATAGTACTTGCAGGGGATACGAATGCACAAGAAGGGCGTCTGATCTCTTCAGAAGCTCATCTGCGTGGTCATTGTGGGCTTAACTCCGAACGGACTGACAACGGCGAGCGTCTGCTGCAACCGTGTGCGGATCACAGTTGTTTCTTAGTAGCACTGCTTTTAGACACAGTGGGCGCCGAAGTGCCACTTGGCGTCCACCTGTAGCTGGCCAGCGATGGACCCAAATTGACCACATAGCCATAAGTTACAGGTGGCGTGGTTCCATTCTAGATTGCCGCTCGTACTGGAGTACCTGCGTCGACTCTGATCATGCCTTGGTGCGCTGTCGTTTCTCCATGAACTTTACCGGGAGGCGCACCAAGCGCCCCCTACGATTGGCAACGGACAAATTGTCTCAGTCCTCGGTCAGGCAAGCCTATCAAGACATACTGCATACCGAACTTCCGTTGTCATGTCCTAATGACCCTGAACTTCGGTGGAATAGGATCTCAGCATCATCCTCATCATCAACAGCAGTACATCAGCCATTTGAACTGATGCGTCGCTGCCATACAATCATGAGGACCTATGAAATAAATAATAAGAAGAGGGAGAGAAAGGGGGACTTACCTGACAACCTTAATGCCCTAAGCAAACATTCTGGGTCAAGGCGCCTACACCTTGTGTTAACAACATACCGTCACAAACAGCTGCCTATCGTGCAAAGATAAGGCGGCATCGGCGAGACAGCTTCCTTGCGGCTTTCACTGCCACGCGTCATAATTAGCCATTACCTCGCAGATAACTCAGCACCAAACACACTTGAAACAGGCAGTCCGATTAGAAGACGGCAGCAGACGCGCCACTGGTGTCGGTTGCGAGCCATGTCCTGCAAAGTCTCGAGCCAAGCACAAGGTGAGTCACGTGGACTCCAACCCGGAAGGCGAGACGGACCAACGACACCCAGTTTGGTTGTCAGTGACTTCATTTCCCGTTGCCAAGTCAACTTCTGTCCACCTCGAGCCTTGCGCCACCCTACACCAGGGAGACTGAACAAGGCCCTCCTAGGTAAGCGGTGACCAGGCATGCGTAGCACGTGCCCGAGCCAACGCAACTTATTCAGTGCTATCTGTTGTTCTAGGGAGCTAGCATGATTATCACTACCAATACTCGCCTACGCACATCATCGTTGGGGATACACTGGTGCCATCCGACACCAGCAACCCTTCGCAAACAACGATGATCAAAGACTTGAATATGCCTCAGATCTTCAGACCGAAAGGGCCAAGTTTCACTACCATACAGCAGAACGGCCCTCATTGTGGCCTTGTATACACGGCCTTTCAGACGGAGGGAAACTCCCTTCTGTCGCCAAACATGACGCAGGTTCAAGAAGGTAGCTCTGGCTTTTGCAATGCGTGAGCTCACGTCAGTTTCTATGCGCCCATCATTGCTGATGCAGCTGCCAAGATAAGTGAAATGATCAACCACCTCGAGTTCCTCGTTAGCAAGCGTCAAGGGGTCATCAAGTGGCTGGTGGTCCTGCAGCAACACTTTGCACTTTGAAGGTGCGAAGTGCATACCAAATAATGGGACCACTCTGGATAGGCTATTCAGGGTTGATTGTGCCGCCGCAACATCGTCGAAAAGCAAGACGATATCGTCCGCATAATCTAGATCAACTAACCTTTCACCAGGCAGCAATTCAACGCCTACATGGTGAGATTCCGCAAGGGAACACTCCATGATAGAATCCACGACGAAATTGAACAAAAACGGGGAAATCGGACAACCCTGACGAACGCCACTTGTAGTCGGAAAGCTATCCGATAGGACACCGTAGACTCTGACGTGGCCTGTAGTGTTCGAGTATAGAGCACGAAGAATGTTCACATATTTCGTGGGAACATCTTTCCGCGCAAGTATTTCAAACAGAATCGATCGATCGACTGAATCGAACGCACTCTTGAAATCGAGGAACACAGTTATTGTCGG